ACAATTCATTCCAATTTTATTCCAGGTACTCTATATTTACTACTTGCCCAAAGAAATCTTGCTTCTCTTATTTTGGCTGCTATCTTTGACACTGCAGAATTTTTATTTATTTATTTATTTTCACAAAAATGTATAATTTTCTTGCATATGCTTGAGAGATGCATATACATGAAACTGTACTGCATGTCTACCTGCATCCTGCTCAAAGAAATCTGTAGGGTTCAGAACTGACCTAATTCTAATGCTGTTGAATTACACAGAAACAGTCTCAGCCAGCTAGCAGCAAGGTTAGATGAGCTTTGATGAGTTGTTTTATCAGTGAAATCCACATTAAAATCAATGGTGATTTTTTGTTTTGTCCAGCTTTTGATAACTATAATTTTGTGTGCTTTTTTTTTCCCTGAGATAATTACTTTTTAGTATGGAATAATATTTTTTTAAAGCAGAGGATCTTTTACTCATAGTATAGGCACTTGCTGCGATCTGAGAAAGACTTCTGGACAGCCAGTGCAGAGTCCTTATATCTAGAAATAAAGCTTATTCAATTAAATTATAAATACGTCCCTGTAGAGATTTTTAGGAGCATCAGGTAAAAGGAAGAGAAGTGCGGTAGTGTTGGATGTGTGGGAGGACGATGAGGATGGGAGTTAGACAGGTGGCCATGTAGACTTGTATTAGAATGTTTTCTGTGCTATGAAAAATGGATTGTGCCATTGCCTTAAAGGATTAACCTTTATGTATATATGTGTGTGTCTGTTCATGTGGGATGCAGAGAAGCCAGCATAATGTTAAAGTTGAATAAATCTGTCTACAGGGTAAACTGTCGTGAACATTTTAAAAAACAGCTAATTGAAGGATGTTTTCTGGATTTTCAACAAGAGAACAAGTGTCCCTTTATAGATGTACATAGTGCATTGAGGGGAATTAGAATAACCCAACAAACGGTATCGATCCTAATGCAAAAATTCCACATAAATCTGTAGCTTGTCTCCATGAGCATCCTTGTCCACATTGCCATTCAGTTTAATCCTCCAGTTTTCTCAGGGATGTGCTTTCTGGAAATCTCTTTTGGTTCTGTAAATTATTAATGTCATTAAAATTTATAATTTTCTGTCATTACCTCTAGGAAAATAGAGATGGTAATGTGAAACATAATTGTCTCATTTTGCAATTTGTGTTATGATAGTTGAGCACAACTAGAGCAGATTTAAATATTCCCCTGAGCAGTATGGCTCGGTATTACAAACTAACTGAAGTTCTTTGTGTGCAGATAAATAAATAGATAAATGAATTCCCCAAATGACCAATATTTGTGTGCAAATAAATAGATAAATGAATGCCACAAATTCTCAAAGAGTAAACTTTGCCATTAATATGTCACATGAACAGAAAATACAGTGTTTAAAGGAATACCCTTTCAGTGTTGAACCAGGTGGTGAGAACTACTCACTAGCAGCCTGGGTAAATAGTCAGTCTTACACTTATGTCTGTCTACCAAAATATTTCAGTGCTCCCTGAAATGTTGGGAATAGCCAAATTCTTTCCCTTAGTAAAGGAAAAGTCCAAGATAAGAGCACTTAGATAAGAGAACATCTTTTATCCCTGGGTAAAGTGCTCTCCCTTCATCCTCATTCAAGAAATTCAGTATTTACAGGCCTGAGTGGAAACTGCTATTGGAGGTGCCAAGCAATAGAGATTTAGGCTCTTTAACCTTCCTTAAAGCATATCCCTGAAACAAGCAGAAGCCACCATCTATATTAAGATTTAACCTAAGTTGCAGTAGCAACATCATGGGATCATGAAAGCCAAAAAGTGGGCATGTGATACAGAATTTTGCAAGGAGCACTTGCTTGGCCAAACCAGCTGATAAGCTCTACTTAGAATACAGCAGTCACGCATGGTATGAATGGTGATTACTGTGTGCTGTCTTGTGCTGTGTAATGATCCAAGAATAAGATTGGAAATTTGGGATACATTTGTTTGGGGAAAAAAACCCTCTAGGACCAAATTAAACTATTTGCTCAGTTGTCACTTTCACAGTGTAAAGAAAATTTTCATATCATGTACAGGAAAGAAAACACATTACTTTTAAACAAATAACTAGATGAATAGACTTTAATTGTAAGATCAGTGCGAAATGTTTTTTCCCCTGTGACTCTAAGGCTTAGAACTATTTTTTGGATATACGCTGTTATTCTGATGAGTGTAAAAGTAAAAGCCAACTTCACATACACTTGTTTTTCCTTTTTTGGCTTGTTTTATTTCTTTTTTTTTTTTTTTTCCTGTAGTTATCACAGTCGGAACGCAGGTGACCTTTCTGCGTGTGACATTTAAGTTTTCACATGCTGCTAAGCCAGGACCGTGAGCTTTCTGGAAACGCGTCTGCGGGGCCTGCCTGTGCCAGGCAAGAGGAAGGGGTGCAGTCCCCCGGCCAGGGAAGCCGCAGCCGGGCTGCTCCGGTGCGGGATGGTGCAGTTCAGGCAGTTCAGGCACTCCTCTGCAGTTCAGGCACTCAGCCACGCTTTCCTGCTCCTGGAGGAGCCTGAGGTGCCCTGCGATGCTGCCTGTGGCTGTACTGCCCTGTGAGCTGGCATGGAAAGGCCCATAGTCACCTTTAACTTTAGAGCATCAGCTCAAAAATGCAGACATAGACCTATCGTTCCCAGCTCTTCCAGCAACAACTTTTTTTTTAATGCTTTTACATTTCTAGAAAGGAACCAGTTTCTAAAAGGAATTGATCATTTGCTGGTATGAATGTCCATCAGCTGAAGAAAATACAGGAGCTTTGTTCCCCTTGGTGTTATATACTGAACTGAGGCATTGAAGGATTTAGCTACTGTCAGCTGTGCACACAGAAAAAGGTGTCACTTTCAGAGTCAAATTTAGCCCAATTTAGGTTCTAAATTTCCCTCCAGAGGTTCCCGTTTTTCTTCTGTGGCTGTACAGTAACTAGGCTTTTACGTTCAGGACTCACTTGGTGCCTATAGTTAAGTGGAAAGAACCTGGGTTAATGTGTCTAACATAATTGATCTCCACTACCTTACTTCTGGAAATCCCATGGAGGAAGCAGTTCTGGTCTGCTACGTATAGGCTTACAGGTCTCAGGTCAAGCATTTTGACACAGGTTATGAGACGTCTTTGAAAGGCTGTGCGTCACTTGGGGAGAACACAAAATGTGTGTGCTGTGAGGTGAACTGAAGGTTTGGATGATTTGTGGTCTTTTTTTTTTCTGTTTCCAACCACTCAGTCTGAGTTTGCCTGCCAAGGGATGCAGCCTGGGGGGTTATGAGTTAAAGCTATCCCATAAAATGGTCTCTCCCTCAGACCGCAGCTTAGACACGCTCTGTGGTTTTAACACCCCTCAAGCCCCACAAAAATGAAATCCAAGGCAGCAGTCTGGAGGGATCCGTAGAGCTTGTGGTTCTCCTTCGGCGTCTCCCTGCAAGGCTACAGGTGCCACCCAGCATTTTCTATTAAGCCTCAAAATCTTTGGCTTCTATAAGGATATACTTATTTTCTGATTTTCTGTTTTCACACCACACCAGTTGGTCTGTCGTTAATGCAATGAATTTCACCTTCTGCAAAGTTAAAAATTCATGTTCCTAAAAAATGATGGGAAATCGGCAAAGAACTAAATTGAGCCAAAGCTACAGTACTAGTCAACCGTAACAAGTAATTATAATAACCCCATGGTCATTTCACTCACAGCTTGACAGAGAAAATGGCAAGAAAACAAAATATTGTTTTTCTTGAATGTTAAAACTACGGGGCCAGGTTCACTTCTGCTGATGACATATCACAAGATGTGGGCCCTGTTGACCGAGTAAGTACAGCAGCATGAATTATTTGCAGCCCCCTGCCCTGCAAGGGGCTGAGAGCAGCCCTGTGCAGGCTGGGCAGTGGGTTGGCCCAGCTGTGCAGCCAACGTGTGCTGGAGACGGGCTGATGCGACTTGCAGATGCTGCTGGTGGCAGTGGTAAGGAGCTGTTGATGTAAAGCTGCTCCCTGCAGAGGAGGCGCCTGGGGGAACGAATGCAGTCAGCGGTGCCGCTGCCTGTCCTTCCTCACAGCGAACTCCTGGCAGGAAATAGCCATCACAAGCTGTACCGCTGTTATGATTTCAGGATCAGCTAAGCCCATGATTTTCAAACTATTTATCCTGGGGTAAAAAAGGAGGTTTGGGTTTTGTGGCCTTTTTTTAACACAAAATACGTAAAACATGTAGTTGAGTTGGCTTCAGTTGCGATACAAGGGCAGTAGATGCGGGCTCTGTCCCAGGATGGATTAGGAGGCTGGGAGATGGGAATGTCTGCAAAGAAGCTTTAGACAGTGCGAAGCCTGGAAAGAAGAGCAGCCTGTCCTTGAGATCTCCTTATATCTTATCCCGAAGTATTCTGTGTGCAGAAACTTGCATTCCTAAATGTGTCAATCCCTTCCATGAAGTTTCTCCTATTTTTTATTTCCTAATACAGATAACCTCAAAAGACTTCCTTGAGTCATTATCAGGATTAGTCTGCAGAAATGATCTGCTGTTCTTATGGGAAAAGTACGTTCTTGTAACGTCGTTCCTAGGTGTAAGGGCCATATTTCCTAAAGACAGTTACGTTTTCCATTTGCTGTTTTGTTCTGAGGATGTAGTGAGGTTCTATTCTGTTAAACCAAAACTCTTTCTATATAAATTTGGTTTGAAGGTTCTTGTTTTTTACGTAGAAACCTGTTGAGACCATCTTGGTGCTTTTCTTTGAGGAACTGCCTCTGCAGTATGTTAGTATTGCCGAGGTAGATGGTACTGTGTTAAGCTGTTTTTTGTTTCAGAGGATGCATAAAAAATAATACCATTGTTACTAAAAAAAATAAGAACATTTGGCCTAGACTAAGCATGTGTGTCTGTAACTTTTTTCTTCTATTGCCTTTTTAAAAACATTTATCCAATAATGAAAGGAATATATAAAATGTCTGGACAAAGATATGTTTTTAAAAGACTGTGTCTCCATCCACAGGAAATCACTGATAATGAAATATTAGAGTTGGTACATAGTGCTCTGGGGAGGATGACAGTTATCCGGCAAATTTTCCCTCTCTCAAGGGACAACAATCAGAGATGCATGAGGAACAATCACCGAATATCATCACTGCTGTGCGATCCACAGGAAGGCTATCTTCAGATGCTGCAGGTCAGTAGCTGTGCCCAGCAGAAAAGTCCATCTTAGGAATTTGACATGAGATGGTTTTCTGTGACTGTATTACCTCAGAGGAAGAATAAAGTGAGTACAGATAAATCTGAGCATGTAACCTTTGGTCAACTTTTCCTGACTTAATTATTTATTTTATTTCCCAGGACTGAGTGCTTTAGATGTGATGTTATGTCTGCGAAGTACCAGCAAATGGTTGCACTAACTCAGAGCTGATTTTTGCATATTTCATTCTCTTAAGAATCTTTTTCTACTTGAAAAAAGAAAAAATTGTGCTGTCATAGTCTTGTGGTGTTACTGCTTGCTTATTATATTTATGCCTATTAGACATCCGTTGTGAAAGAGTTAATCTGGGATGATAACAGAACTCTGACAGATATTGGGCTGTGGAACATTTCATATTTAGTTAAATGGACTGAATCCAGCTGATGTATTAAATCTGTCCCGTTTCAATAGTCTCAGAAGTCTCTAGCAGCTGATAATTGTCTGAGCGTGTGAAATATGCACTACTAGTTCAAGTTCCAGATTTTGGTAACGGATTTGACTCTGGTGTAAGCAACTTCCTAAGATTTCTTGGCAATTTATCCCAGATATCAGAATTTTTCTTGCAGTAATTTAAATATAATTTTAGGTGCTATTTCCAAGGATAGTGCAATAATTTAGAAACACAGGTCTTGGACTGTCAATGGGACTCCATGTGTTTCTGGTTTACTTTAGACACAGTTAAGAATCTCATTTGTATCACTGTTGAAGCTGTTGGATAAAACTGAAAACTTTAGTGAGACTGAGAATATAAGCTTGATTAGAACATTTTTATTGCAAGTTTAGTCTTAACCTGAGATGGATTGAGTGAGGACACAGTGGTTGAGCCTGAGAGTTGGCGAGCGTGGGTATTTTGTGTTAGAGTGAGTCTAGAAAGGGCTTGGTTAGGCTGTGGGGAGGGGGCTGTTGGCAGTCTGGGCTGCTGCAGCCTGGTCAGGAGGGAGGTGTGGGGTGAGGGGTCCTTCCAGAGGGAGCTCATGTGCTGGCTTGGAAGAGCTTCTGAAGAGCAAGATGTGAGGCTTATGGGAAACCAGGAGAGGTAGGGAGATTCTCAGGAAGAGAAGTGGGTAGGTCAGGATTTTCCAAGGAACATGGATGGGGGCGTTTGTTTTACTTACTTGTGCCCTACTAAAAAGTTGTAGCTGCAGAGACTGAAATCCTCTGAGGGAGAGGGATATGGACGTTTCCTCCTTGAAGAGAACCTCTGCCGACTCAGGTTCTGTCACAGCGGTGGCAAAGTTTGGGAAGTGCCAACCACACGCACTGTAGTTCTGAGCACTGGTCTATTCTTTCTGCACAGGGGAAAGAAAGTCTTTGCCTATCTTGGCTTAGAAAGAAAAGACACTTTTGATCTTTGTTAGTAACTCTGAGGTATGCTGTAATGAGAACAAAGGCCGCTCATTTCAGAGGATCAAAGCAATTTCCAGTATGTTGAAAAAATTATCTATCCTGCACCAACAAATCACTCATTGGGGAACAATCTTACATTACAGCATGATTTTCATTATTGCTGTCTATGCTGGTTTATGCATAATCTAATTCAGAGACTCATCTGAAGGGCTCTGACGGACCACTCTGAGCAAGTTCTTACATGCTAAAACAGTAACTGGTTTGCTAGCATGAACAGCCTCGTGCCCTATTACTAAATTTCACTGACAAGGACCCTTTAGGAAGGACCCTCTTCCTGCTGATTCCCAAATGTGGATTTTGAGAAGCAAAACATTATCAGTTTCTGTCTTCCAGAAATATTATACCACTTTAGAAACTGTCTTTAAGAGAATGGAACAGTGATGTTATTAGCTCCTTCTCCACGAACTTAGAAACAAGAGAGAATTAAAGAAGTGTGGAGGTATAAAGTTCATCTTTTGGAAGTTGATTCCATAACTGTCGTGTCCAGCCACGCTGGAATGAAATATCATGAAAGGTGAAGGGCACGTGCGAGATCTCTCATATTAGCTGACCCCAGTATATCTTGTGTTATCTGTAAGTTTCTACAGATTGAATATAGGATGCTTTTAGCATGTGCAGTTATATCGGTAGCGTTCCGTAGCCACATTTTTTTCATAGGCTTTGCCAAAACATCTTATGTTAACACCTTGTGGGCATACAGCTCATATTAATCTCCTAGTATGACTGACATGTTATTAACGGTCCTGCAATTCAGGTACTTCCAATCTTCTGTTTCCTTTTTCTTGCTTAAAAAATTCTTTTGACCTTTTGTTGTACAGAAGTACATCACTAAATTACCCCTGTTGCCAGAGGCTGCAGTAGCTCCCAGGTCCATGTCAGGCTGCGTGAATCCACCAGAGGCAGTGACCGCCTGCCAGCACCAAGTCCTTGCGTTGCTTTGAAGTAGTTTGATTAACACCACAGTTTGGAAATCCCTGGCTCGTTCTCCCTTGGGCAATCTCACATTAATAATTCTTTGTTGTCAAGGTAACTTACCAGCTATTGTTGGTTAATTATTTATTTAATGACTTTGAAGAAGAATAAGCTAATCTCTGTCAGCCTGTAGCTGTGAGATTTTTATAGGGGAGAATTTAGCGTTTTTAACAAGCTAGTAAAGAAAGAAACATTTACGTCATGGATTATTAACTTTGTTCTAGCTAAATTAATGAAAATCTTTCTGGAACGATTTTGTTCTCAGCGTCTTTAGTACCATATCCTGGAAAGTTGTTTTTCAGTGGGTGATCATCCCAGTTTGGCATTCTGACAGGGCTTTTAAAGATCAGGCTGTTCTGCAAGCTCATCCAAAAACTCATCTGTTCTGAATGCTTTGTGGAAATCCAATCTTATTCCATCAACCCACTTGTCAAAATTTTGCTCATGCCCTTATTTCTTGCACGTATAATATACCCAGCTGGGTTTCTGCTTCAACTGGAGAAAAAGCTTTATAAAGTTTCCTGTCTTGGCCATTTTATTTGACTTCAGAGGTCTACATTTATCTCTTTCTTATTCTTCATATATGATTTTCTGCGTCCATCTCTCTTACTTTTTTGTAAGTGGAAAAGAGACAGTTTAGAACTTGCTGTCTTCCATTGGCGATGAGTATCCTGTGGTTTGGGCCATCAGCGTTGTCAGTATTGCCTCATCTGGAGAGAGAATACTGAAGCACTTCAGGATTTATAGTTAAATCTAGTTAGTCCTAGATAGAGCTCGTATGTATCCCTGCATGGCATTTGAATGGTGTTTAGTGGGATTACCGCTGTTGAACTGTTTAGATTATTTCAGACATAGTCTTACAGAGTCAATTTGAAGATATTTTACTGAATAACCTGCTTTTTTCCAAAATCTTCCCCTTTAAATATTAGTTTTGAAGCCTATCTGCAAACTTGATTTTTGATGAAGATCTTTTTTCTTTCATCAGGTTATTCGTGATGTGTTCATAAACTCAAAATAATTTTTTTTTTCTGTTTATGTTTTTGAAGAAAGATTTCTCTTTAGAAATGTAATTCCCATTACAGTTTGTTTCTTCCTATATTTACCATTTATACAGTTAATAAGTTCAATCTATGTGAGATTCTATTTATATTAAAACATATTAGAGGGACACAGTGTATCTGAAATCATTTAGTATGGTCCAAAATATTTAGTAAGATTAAAAAGGCAAAAAGAAAACCCCAGCAAACTGTGTCATGAAATTAATGAGGTTATTCCTCACAGGATTCAGAGTCCAACCTCTCTACTGCAGAACTATTCCAGGCACTGCTTTGACGTATTTGAAGAGAAGATGTTGAGAAGTGTGGGAGGGTATTCATTGAAAGAGCTACTCTTCTCCCTCTGTAAAAAATTTGTTCTTCAAAGACTTGACCATCAGATATCTTTGTATCTCTTAGCAGTTGCTCCTACAGAGCTGCGTTTTTATTTATGAACTGTCTTCTCTTCAGGAATGGCTGCAACTTAACTACTGTAACTGGAGTTATTTTTTGGAGATGTGTTTGATTGCCTGAACTTAAGTGCCTGGTCCTGCAGTTTTGTCCAACTACATAACCTTACTCTCAATAGTGCCTGGTCCTGCAGTTTTGTCCAACTAAATTCCCTTACTCTCAACTGACCTATTTACATTGCGGTTATTACACAGCTGTTAAGTGCTACTGGGGGCAGTAGATATTGATTAAACCCTATTAAAGCATTCACTTTCTCCCATAAAGGATTGATAAGCCACATTTTTCTTTTCCTTTCGTGACAAACCTCTAATTGAATGTCTCTTTACCAAAGTTTAATTTGGACTTTTGGCCAGATGTTCAGTCACAGTGAAACCATTTCTGAGTACCACATGAATGAAAAGTATCCTTGAACTGACTTCACTGCCTATTGCACGACATAATCGCTCCCTGAAGCCCGATGGCATGTGTTTTATACAAGGTGCGTTAGCAGAAGAATTGTTTAAAAAAACCCAAACAACCGCGGGTGTCCTCTGGCCATGTGGGATTTTGTGAGCCGTCTGGAGGCTAGAACCCCAGGTACATTCTGGAGTGAGCTTCTCCTCTCTGCTCAGACGACTTCTTTTGACCGCTGGAGTTCTCTATTTGCATAATTATTTCATTGAATTTTTGTTCAGTGCTTTATCAGGGAGCAGACAACAGCGGCTAGAAGAAAGGGTCAGTACCTCCATTTTTCATTGCTTCTGAAACCTAATTTGCACCCATATTTATTTATAAATGAGGTAGGGTAAAATGATAATCTTATACTCTGTTTTGCAATTCCAATATAGCCTCTTGTCCTACTGTCTGACTCTTAGCTGTGTTCGGTTTTCTTTATCAAATGTCTCCTGCTAGACTTTCCCTGGACAGTTAGTGTTAGCTGTGCCAAATTCTTGAGACGTTTAGTGCGTGAAGCCAATGCCTGCAGCTAACAAGCTTGAGCATTACAGGGTAATCCAGACCATGTATTATTGTTAACATGTTGTTATAAAACATACTGAGTAAAAAACCACTCAT